TTCAGCAGCTCTGGGGACTGGCAGTTGGTGTAATGGCTATGTGGCTGGACTCCCATGTAGTCGACCGCAGTTCGAGTCCTAGACCCAGTGGCTTAAACGCACGCCGAGCACATGTGTGTGCGTGGCTAAGATCCCAAGAGGGGAATGGAGGAGAAGGGATTGTGGCATGGCCATCTCCCCTCGGGGGTGATTTCTTGCTTTCTATCTCTCTGTCTCTCTCTCTCTTCTGGGGAGTGCACTCACTCTATATAGCAAAAACCTCTCCCAAAACAAAACAAAAGCAACTGTTCACTCAAAGAAATCTATCCAACTTCGCTTGGACTCTCTAAGGCCCTTTTACTTCTTTTTTTAAAAAAGAATTATTTAATTTTACTCATCATCATTATTTTTTTTAATTTGGCCAGACAGAGAGGGAAAGTGAGAAAGCAAGCTGCCAGGTCCAGGACTCGAACCATGGTCAGCCATGTGGGAGTCCAGCACCCTTAGCTACCATGCCACCTGCTGGCCCCCGCTTTTCCTTCTTTAGAGACACCTAGTGCCCTAGGGACGTGTGTGGGTGCTGATCCCACCCCTTCACAGGTCCCTCCTGGAAGATGATGTCTTCAGGACAGGCCTGGCGGGAGCTGACGCCGAGGTGAGCCTTGTCCTTCCCCACCTCTGCCTCTCTCCCTGTCCCCAAGAGCAGTGAGACTGGTGTTGAACCAGGGGGTTGCTCCCAGAGCAGTTAGAAGACCCTGCAGAGTTCATTCATTCTTAGACCCCACACATCCCGCTCCATCCCCCCAGGAGGTGAGCTGGCGTTGAGCACCCAGCCATGTCCTGTGTCACACTCCAGACTGCCACTGCGTGTGTGGCAAGTAGCACAAGCAGGCTGCTGGAGTGGAAGTGGCCTTTCCAATGGGGAGGACAGAAAGGGGCAGCGCTTTCCGGGTCTCCACAGCAGGGCAGCTTTGATCCCAGGCCCCAGGCAGCAGGACAGCCGGCTCTGCGTCTGCTGACCCGTCTGCCCTGACAGAAGCAGTGATGGTCAGAGCCCTGGGTGGCGGTGGGCCTTCACTGATGTGTGTCCTCGCCCTCCGCGCCCTCAGGTTTCCGACATCTCGGATGCAGACCCGCAGGCCCTGCTGCAGGCGCTGCAGGTACTGAACTGTACTGCACTGAAGCAGCGACATGCACGGTCCCTGGGGCTGGGCGCTGGGGCTGGGGGAGCGGGGATGTTTTGTGCCAAGACTTCATTCTCAGAGCCTCTAAGTTCTCCCGTTACAGCTGTTTCGGAAGCCCTCCTAGTGCATGAATAGCGCCCTTCCGCAAGCTGTCGCCCTTTTGCCCTAGGGGTATATCTCCTCCTGTGAATAGAGACTGGACAGTCTATCCCACAGGCCTCTGGTGAGATGGGGCCACACCCCACCCAAAGACTCACCCGGGTGCCTCCCGCCGCCCCCCACCACCTAGAGAGCTGAAAGTCTGTTCCTGGGCCAGCTGGTAGTGTGGTGGGTAAGACGACTGGATCCTATAAGGTCATCCGTGCAGCTGAGTCTAGAAAACACTCCAGGCACATGTGTGCATGTGCTCAAAACCCCAAAGGAGAAAGGAGCAGGGATTTGTGGTGTGGCCTTCCCCCCAGAGTGGGTGCTTTCTCTCTGCCCTTTCCCACCGCCCCTTCTCTCCTTGGTGAGCATGCACACCCTGCAGCAAATTAAAAAAAAAAAAAAGTTCGTTCCTAACCTTCCCCCTACTTCTCTCCACATTGTCTACCAAGTCTCCTTCAGTACAGTTGTCTTATCAGAGCAAGCCCTTTGCAATGAAATTATTTTTTTAATTGCCAGTCGGTGTGTGTACTCACCAGAGAGGGGGAGAGAGACAGAAAGCACCCTCGATAGGACATGGGCGTGTCGCAGTTCCTTCTCTTCCATTCCTCATCCCTTGGGAATCTGGGCACATGCACACACACACCCACAAACTGTGTTTTTCTTTTCTTTAGGTTTTTGCCAGAGGGCTGTTTGCTGAAGAGAGACAGAAAGAAGGAGAAATCACCCCCCAGGGGGCATGGCCATGCTGCAATCCCTTTTTTCTTGGGATTTTGGGCATGCATGCACACACGCCCGCATGATTTTTTTAAGCTGTCAGGTCCAGGACTCAAACCGTGGTCGGCTGTGTGGAAATCCAGTGCCTTAACCACCATGCCATCTGCTGGCACCCCCGGTGTTTTTCAAGCCCACCAGGTCCAGAATTTGAACTGCATAATTGGCCATGTGGGATCTGGCTTCCTTAAGCACTAGACCATGGGGCCACCCCTACAATTCAGTTTCGAGACGTGAATTCCGAGCAGGTTTAGACCGAAATCTCATGGTGCTCAGCTGGCTTAGCCTAGGCCTCCTCCCTCTTCCCCTTCGGACCCGCACACCTTGCTGTCTCACCCTCAGTTTTGCATCCCCTTTGGTTGGCCCATTTTGTCACGGTCTCCAGGACAAGACAGAACTCTTGGTCACAGCACCATGGGACTCTGAAACACTGGTGTCTGTTCCCTTCTTGGTTGCAAACTCAGTTTTTTTTTTTTTCTTTTGGTGTAGGACGTGTGTGTCGGAGAGGGGAAGAGACAGAGAAAGTGAAAAATCACCTCCTAGAGGGGATGGCTGTAACTGCAGTCCCTCTGCTCTATCCTCCTCTCTGGATTTGGGGCATGCACACGCATGTGCCTGGCATGATTCTCAGGCCGGGTCTGGGACTCCTACCACAAAGCTGACCACATGGGGTCTAGCACCTTAACCACCACACCACCTGCCCTCCAGACTCGGCTTTTATTTATTTATTTATTTTTTGAGAGGTTTTCGCTACAGAGCGCGTGCGCTCACCAGACAGACAGAGAGAGACATAGAGACAGAAAGCAGGAAATCACCCCCCAGGGGGGATGGTCATGCTGCAATCCCTTCTCCTCCAGTCTCCTCTCGGGATCTTGGGCACGCATGCACATGTGCCCGGCGTGAGTTTTTTAAGCCACCAGGTCTGGGACATGAACCTCGGTCGACTATGTGGGAATCCAGCGACATAGCCCTTATGCTAACTGCTGGTTCCCCAGACTCGGCTTTTTTAACTTCAGATTGAAATCTCTCCTGAGGCCAGCTGGCCGGGACCCCTGAGTGAGACCTGCAGGTCCCCCAACTCAGCTAAGGCGGTGACTGTGTGTGTCTCTTCCAGAGTGTGCTGAGCCCCCCACCCTCTGCTTGTCTTTGGTTCAGTTTTCTTCCCTAACTCACCTTTATTCTCAAGTTCTCTTGCTTTCATTTGTTTTCTCATAATTCTGCCCCGGTGTGCCAGCTGCCCTCCTCCTCACCTTCTCAGAAGTCACCCCCGTCCTCCGTGCTCTCCTAGGACCTGGACGACATGGATGCTGACCTCCTGGGTCTGAAGAAGTCTAGCGTGACCTCTGGCCAAAGACTTGTGAAGGAGTCTGGGAAAGAAGAGCTGCCCACAAATCCTCAACCTGCTGCCAAGCCAACAGCCAATGAGAACGGTGAGTGAGAAAGTATCTCAGATGGGGCCAGTAGTTAGCGTAATGGCTATGTAATTGGACTCCCACCTAGTCGACCACGGTTTGAGTCTCAGACCCGGTGACTTAAACTCACGCCAAGCACGTGTACATGCGTGCCCAAGATCCCGAGAGGAGAAGGGATTGCGGCGTGGCCTTCCCCCCGGGGGGTGATTTCTCACTTTCTGTCTCTCTGGCGAGCACACACCCTGTAACAAAAAACCTCTAAAAAAAAAAAAAAAAAAAAAGAATACCAAAAAAAAAAAAAAGTATACCTGCTGGGGAGATTCCAGGGACATGCATGGTGCTCAGGAGGCTGTCAGGCCAGCCAGGTGGTATGGTGGTTAAGGTGGCTGGACCCCACATGACCAACTGAGTGGTTCAAATCCCAGACATAGCAGCTAGAAAAACATGGTGGCAGGTGGTACAGTGGTTGAGGTACTAGACTTCCACATGACTGACCAAGGTTCGAATCCCAGATCTAGTGGCTTGCTTTTTCACTTTTTCTCTCTCTCTGTCTCTCTTTAGTCAAATTTTAAAAAGTAATAATAACAAATTAATTCTTTTTAAAAATGTTTTTTGTAAGAGATTTTTGCCTTAGGGTGTGTGCACTCACTGGAGAGAGAGAGACAGAGACAGTAAAAGGAAAAGTGAGAAATCATCACCCAGGGGAGATGGCCACGCCACAGTACCTTCTCCATTCTCCCCCTGGGATCCTGGGCACACACATATGCTCCCGGTATGATTTTTAGACCACCGGGTCACAGTCAGCTATGTGGGAGTCCAGCAATGTAAACACTATGCCATCTGCTAGCCCCATAAGTAATTCTTTTTTATTTTTTAAGAATTATTTAACTTTGGGGCCGGCAAGTGGCATGGTGGTTAAAGGCGCTGGACTCCCACATGGCCGACCACGGTTCAAGTCTCAGACCTGGTGGCTTGCTTTCTCACTTCCTCTCTATCTCTATCTCTCTCTGATCAAACTGGAAAATAATAATAATAATAAATAAAGTTGAAACAAAATAATTCTTTAAAAAAAAAGAATTGTTTAACTTTATTTATTTATTTTATGGGGCCAGCAGTTAACGTAATGGCTATGTCACTGGGCCCCCATGTAGTCGACCGCGGTTCGTGTCCCAGGCCCGGTGGCTTAAAACTCACTCCGGGCACGTGTGCATGTGCGTGTGTACTCAAGATCCCGAGAGGAGAATGGAGGAGAAGGGATTTCGGCGTGACCATCCCCCCTGGGGGGTGATTTCTCGCTTTCTATCTCTCTGTCTCTGTCTCTGTCTGGCAAGCACACGCACCCTATAGCAAAAACCTCTCCAAAAAAAAAAAAAGAAGAACTCGGGCTGGCAGGTGCTATGGTGGTTAAGGGTACTGGATTCCCATGTGGCCAACCATGGTTTGAGTCCTATATCTGCTTTCACTTTCTCTCTCTCTCTTCCCCTCTCCCTCCCTTCCTCCCTCTCTCTCCAGTCAAGTTTAAATAAAAAAAAAAAAAAAGTTAAATAAAATAATTCTTAAAGAAAAAAAAGAATTATTTAACTTTATTTATTTTATTTATGCATTCATTTATTTTAATTTGATCAAAGAGAGAGAGAGGGAAAGTGAGAAAGCAAGCCACCAGGTCCAGAACTTGAACTATGGTCAGCCATGTGGGAGTGTCCAGCACCTTAACCACCATGCCACCTGCTGGTCCCCCACATAAGTAATTCTTAAAAAAAAATAAAATAAAAAGAGGGACTGGCAGGTGGCGGGGGGTTTAGAGGCTTGAGTCCCACACACCCCGG